ACAAAACTCGGTACATTGCCTCTAAGCCTCAATGTACTCTCCTCATCCAGCCCACTACCTAAGACATCGTGCAGAAGTGCGGTTCCTCGCGATGTAATATACACCATTGCCTAAGACCTCGAGCAGTAATGTGCTTCTTTATTCCACAACCCAGACATCGCCTAAGTCGACATGCAGGGATGTTTGGATAAAAAAACTCGTTACATTACCTCTAAGCCTCAATGTACTCTCCTCATCCAGCTTACTGCCTAAGATATCGTGCAGCAGTGCAGTTCCTTGTTACGTAATATAGACCATTGCCTAAGACCTCGAGCAACAATGTGCTTCTTTATTCAGCAACACAGAACATCGCCTAAGTCAACATGCAACGATGTTCGAAAGAAACAATACTCGATACATTGCCTCTAAGCCTCAATGTACTCTCCTCGACTTAACCCACTACCTAAGGCATCGTGCAACAATACGGTTTCAAGTTCGGTAATAAAGACCATTGCCTAAGACCTCGGTCAGTAATGTGCTTCTTTATTCCACAACACAGATCATCGCCTAAGACGACATGCAACACTGTTCTAAAACCAAAACCCAGTTCATTGCCTAATACCTTGAGCAGTAATGCAACCAAACCCACTGCCTAAGACATCGTATAGCAGTGCGGTTCCTTATTCCATACATACCATTGCCTAAGACGTCATGCAACAATGTGCTTCTTTATGTTGTAACCCAGACATCGCCTAAGATGACATACAACGATGTTCAGAGAATAAAACCTAACTTATCGCCTAAGACATCACACAACGATTCGCAAACATAACCCATAGCCTCAGTCTCCAAGCAGCCATGCGTCATCAATAGCTGTTTCATTTATCCCTCCAAAAAAGGAGGATGAGTAAGCAAAAGCAAAACATACAAGACGGCTTTCTTAAAGCTCAAGACTATCTGCCTTTTTATCCAACCTTGGTAAGCGATATATCATCAGCTTTTCCTGTTTTCTCAAGACTTGTAAGGGTGTGCTACATCAGCGTAACCTTATGATTGGTCAAACAAATTTTAGGTATTCCAAGTATTTAATAAACTCCCAATTAGAATGCGCCATACTCGCGTGTTCTCGCGCTATTCGATGGGAAGATAATTGAATAGGAGCAGCTATCGTACCCCAAATTTGTCCTACCGTGACGATCCTAATTTCAAGATAGAAGAAATATTTAACTAAAGATGGTAGAACATTATTTGATGGCCCATATTTATCTAAGACTAGGGTGTGTATTTTAATTCAAGAAAGTAGAGATTTCTAAATCAGAAAGACTCATGTATTCGTGAACCCATTCGCGTAGCATGTTGGCCAGCAGCCCATGCGATTCGAAAATGGGAAATTATTTCAGAATAATAACTATTAAATAGTTGTTACTGTAGAGGTTGAAATTAAATTAAGTCTACTTAAGTTTAAGTTACTATTAATTAATAATTGATTTTATTAAGGGCATTTAGGTGTTATTTCGTTGTTAGTAAAAAAAGTGGTGGTAATTTACTTAGTTGGCCCATTTCTATTTTGTTATCCAAACAAGGGTGTGTTTATCAACATAAGGCCCATTAAGATGGCCCATCTAATGATTAGAGAAGAAAAGAAATGTTCTTGTTAAAATTACTTTTTTTGTTTCAATAGATAAAAAAGAGATATATAAAAGAAATAATATTATTAAAGAAAAACTGTTTGTTGTTTTAAATAAATATATAATATTTGTTTCAAGAAATAAGAATGTAACGTTTTTTTGCTTTTTTACAGTAATGTTATGTAAAGTTTGTTTAGTTATTAAAAAAAATAGTGTTGGGCCTGGTTTAAGAGAAAATGTTTTTGCTGTAATGAAGGAAAAAGAATGCGTTGGGTTGAGAAGTAATGCAAGGCCCAATTCATATTGGAAAAAAGCTTTTTTGCTGGCATACTGGGCTGAACAATAAAACAAAACAGGCCCATTTTCTTGAGAGTTAACGCAAGCCCATAATCAAAAAACGACAATTGTTCCGATTGAAGCAGAAAATTACTCTTGTTTTGCAAAACAACAACAACTATAGAAATTAAATAAATTCATATCAAATATCCAAAAATCAAATAAAATCGAATCCAGTAAATCAATTACAAACAGAATCCATAAATTATAATATTCTCAATCAATTACAACACAACTCTTAACAATTAAATCCCTAATTTCTATCTAAATCTCCCTAAATCTAAGTAATCCCAACAACTAATTCACAAACCCTAATTCCTAAACCTATAAATACATAAGAACAAGAACAATACAAGTGGGATTTCTGGACAGTAAAAAGAAGAAGAGAACAAGAACAACAGTTGGAGGGATCGAAGAAATACAGTATCGAAAAATACAGAAGAAGAAGTAAAAAGACAGAAGAAGAACGAGCAACCACAATGTTGGGCCAAAGTTTGCAAAAGAAGAACGAAGCATCGATTGGGGTTTCGATCTCCGAAACCCTAATCGGCCTTGATAACCTCCACCGCCCCATCTTCAAGGCTATCATCACCATCAATCATCAATCCTCCATAACCTGCCAAAGACAAAGAAGAAAGAGGAGATTAGCCCCAAATCGTAACAACTCAAGAATCAAAATCAGAACAATCGCGAAAGAGGGTAATTATACTTAGCTTGCTTTTCTTTTTTTGTAGAGTTACGGTGAGTAGGGATTTGTCAAGGAGCCGCCGGTGGTGGTGGTGGGTGACTAGGGTTAGAAGGAGAGAAAGAAGAAGGGTTATGCATAGGAGAGAGGGAAGCAATATTTTTTTGCTGTAAAACATTGATAATGAAAAAACAAGAATATTAAAACATTGTAATGTCTTCGTTCGATCAGGTGCGTAGCGTCTATAGTAGTTGTTGTACTCTCTTAATTTTGACCATGTGATCTTAATCTGACGACCTTAAGGCCAAGTAACTATGATACTCCCACATTCCCTCGTCACATTGGATTACACTGACCTTCCCTTCTTACTGCGTTGGGCCAAAGCCCAATACTTTTCATACCCCCTTTTTCACTTAATTTCTAAACTCCTGAACAAACAACACCCCCTGCCAGCCTGCGTATTGGGCCTAATTCAAATTATTTTTAGCACCCCCATGCTTTTACTTGATAACTAGAAGCTACACCCCCAAGTTTAATCAACTTTTTTATTTATTTTACATTATGTTATCTATTTTTAATTCTTATACTTATTATATTATAATAATTATTATTTATATTTGTAATTATTATTATCATTATTTTTTATATTAATTATTATTATTATATATTATTATTTGTTATGTCATGAAAACAAAATTTTCTATATCAAAATGCATATATTGTTTTCGTATATCATTTGCATTAAATCTTTTTTGATCATGCATTAATCAAGAATTTTTGCAATTAACACGATTAAAAAACACTCAACAAACATCAAACCATTTTTCGCAATAAACTAATCTAAACAATTGTTTTTTGCAAAAGGGTTTCAAATGGATTTTGACTAATCACTCATTTAGCCAGAATCTCCGCAATCACTACTCCAAGCCAAAATGCGAGGTGATTCAAAATACATTTGCAACCCATAAAAAACCCCAACCCCATACGAACTACGAATTGGGACTCTGATTACTCATAAGAGAATATGTAAGCATATGATCAAAAATTGTGGCGAGTTCCCCTAATTAAAACTTATAACCCTATTTTACCTCAAACTTAAACCTAAAACCTAGTATCCTTGTGAACAAGGTAGATGAAAGGTGCCTAACACCTTCCTTTCGTCTAATAGAGCCCGAAACCTAGAATTACTATCTGCGAATTAGGGTTTTCTATTAGATTCCCTTCCCTAGGATAAAAACTAATAGTGGCGACTCTCATTTAAATAACAGTCGCAACACCTATGTATCCTCTTAGGAGAAATCAGAGTCCCAATTCGTAGTTCGCAGTGTTTGTTGGTGTTTTTTATAGGATTGCATAAAATTGCTTTCTAATTATCCTTGAACCTTGTATGGGTTGTAAGTTGGATGATCGTAGACGCAGTTTGTAGTTTGATTTAAAGGCAATGCTATTTAACCCTTTTCTTGAAAATGATCCTGAAGTTTTGATTAAGTTAGTAGAAAAATGTTTTGATGTTGGTTAGTTATTTTAAGTTGATTGAGCGAGGGGAGTCTGATACAGTCTTTCTTCTCACATGGCTAGATATTAGCCACTAGTTGCTCGTTATGAAGTACGTGGAGGGAGTCTGATGAAGTATCCCTTATCACGTGGCCAGATATTGACCATGTGTTGCTCGCGGATGGTGAATTTGGTGAATTACGTAGATTTAATTATTTGAATTAATTATTTTAAGAAGTTTGACTTATGTCATGTATACACTAATTAATTGTAAATTTAAAGGTATTTACAAATTAACAAGTCTAATTAACCTATTTAAAAAACCAAATAAAATATGTTTTTTGTATTTTTAATGAAACAAAATAAACTATTCTTCATAATTAATTAATTAACTAAAATTATTACCTAAACTAATAGTAACCAAATAAAACAAAAAAACTAAGGGGGTGTTAAGTTAGAATTATGGAGTTAAGAGTTAACAAAAAAGGAAAAATACAGAAGCCTAAAGCCCAAAGCCCAATTATAACTCGAAAATAAAAAAAAATTAATAACAATGTAAACATTGAAAACCTGGGTCAAATTTCATTTTTGTCTCATACATATTCTCTTCCATTTTTCTCCGAAGAGGCAAACGATTTTGACACTGTGGTTATGTAACAGCACCTCTTCACATCCAGAATCAAATGAGAGCATGGGATAGAGTTACCGGTGGCGATATCTGAAATAGAGGAAAGCGCTATCAATGGTGTAGCTGGACATATATCATCGATCTCGTCGGTTGTCGGTTGATCTGCTGACGGCGGCATGGTGGTGAGCTGTTGACGAAGGGTCGGTTGTGGTGTGCGACGGTGTGGTTGTGTGCTCCGGATCTGCCAGAACTATAGTGGCTTCGATAGGAGAAGAGACATATGCGATTGATTTTGACTCTGTTTCCAATCTTTCTTCTTCTTTTTCAATCTGCAAAAACACAAGCACAATACACAAGTATATTTGGTTGTCGTGTGTGAATGAGTTTGAATAGTTTTGTATATAGATTGCCAATGTTTTTTGAATTGATTTGATACAAAATAATCACAGGTTGTATGAAGGAATATTTTTAGTAGTGATATTGTGGCTATTTTTGACTCATGGGAATGATGTTTATTTTGGATTAAATGGAGGTTTAAATTGGTGCAGTTTGTCTGAAAAATAACGTTACTCATTTAACACAGAATAAGACATGAATGTATGGTGTTGATGAGTAATAAAATTGGAAGAATTTTTTTTTGTAAGTTGTTTAAAGAAACTATCAAGTAGAATAAGAGTAAGTGATGATGTTGTATGTTAGTGTTTATGCAGCGTGAAAGTTTATAATCATAATGGTGAAGAGTGAAACATGAAGATGACTCTTATTATTAAGTATTTACAGGTTTTGAAACAAAAATTGAATATATGGTGATGGATTTGAAATTGTTAGAAAAAAGAAACCAGTGAGAGTCAATTATGTATTAGTGGTGCAAACTGTAAAAATAATAACAATTATGAGAAATATGTTTTAATAAATTACGGAAATTAAATGTCCTACGCTATTACGACACTTTGGGAGTGAGGGTACAAACTTATGAATGAGGATGAAAAGCAGTAAACCCTAATTAAGGCTATTGCAGACCATTAGCAGTTAAAGTATTGAAAAATATTAATGCGAAAATAAAGTGCGCGAAAGTGGTGGAAAAAGGGAAAGATGTTTAAGAAAGCCTAAAATACTTATAAGTGTTTAAGAAAATATTTTTTGTTTTTGTTTAGAAAAATATTTGATAGTGTAAAATAATAACAAAACCTAATTCTAATTATTTTACAAATTAATTAACAAAATAAAACAAAGTGATTAAATTAAATTAATTATAATTATCAAAAATTAAATTATTTAATTAAAAAAACCTAAATCTAAATTAATTTTAAATTTACAAAAAAAGAAACTAATTGTTAGAAAATAATTTTGATGTTTTATTTAGAAAAATATATGAAGTATAAAACCTAATTCTAATTAAATAAAATCAAAGTGATTAAATTAAATTAAATTTTATTTATGAAAATTAAATTAATTAATTAAAAACCTAAATCTATTTTTTTTAATGATTATATGATTTTTGTTGATTAAATAAAAAATGAAATTGAAAAGAATTAAATTAAAACAAACAAAAACAAATGAAAATTAATGGGCCTGGCATTGTGAAAGAAAATTGGGGGTGTGAAAAGAAGAAAACATTAGGCCCAAGATGATAAGCCCAAGCGCCTGTATTGAGATCCAAAGGGGATGGTTTTCATAAGGTATACCATGGGACACACATTTGGTGCGTTGGATCTAATTGCATGATGATCTGATGGTGTGGGGCTGAGGTATACCTTACGCGCGTTGGGATGGCTTGTATGGGATCTACAAGAGAAATTTTAGAAAATAAAATTCCAGAGGCAGGGATCGAATCCCTGCCTTGGCACACCAACTCCTTACACACACACGCTTGCCACTGGGGTGGCAGTTTCATCCGGTTATGAAATAACACCCAATAAATATATAATAAACTTGTTTTCAAAAATCGAAAGATGAACTTCATCTTCTTCCTCGCGCTAGCAATAACAACAACATTGTTCAAATTTCTAACTCCTTCAATTCTCAATCATTTAAAAAAATGTAAACATGAAAGTTGTTCTAAATTTCACCATGAACTCAATCATGTAACTTTTGAAAGCTATAAGTTAAAGGCTGAAAAGAACTTTGCTTGGTACCAAATTGAAACCTAATATTTCAGAAACTTCAAGTCCAAAATTCTCATCGCATAGTCAACATAAATGAAAACTAAGAACATGGTTAGTTTCAGGGAAATCATATCTATATTTTAGCTTTTTAAATTGAAAGCAAATGACGTGTGTATAAGGATTTCAAAGTTGGATAAACTTACCTCTTGAAGTGAAAACTCAGAAGCGTATGGAGGCTTCCAGGTACAAGAAAATGATTGATTGAGCTTTCTTGGACCTCCCTAAAGTTGTTCCAATCCTTAATTTATGCTGAAAGTGTCTGAATCTCTCCAACTAAGTCAATGTGAAAGCTTCAGATATGGAGTTTAGAGGATGATGAAGATGGTGTTACAGAAGTGTAACATTTGTTTAGTGTGTTATATGTGATATATGTAAGGTGTATGGATGATAAAAAAGATAAACGCACAAGTGGATTTGAAGTTGGGTGTTGGAAGCTTCAAATGTGCAACAATGGTGGTTTCTTGGTGATTCTGAGTTTTAGAGTGTTTGAGGGCTTCTGAAATCATGTCTTGGTTTGCAAATGGACCCTATATTTATAGGAAAAAGGTTTGAGGGAAAGGGGACTGATCAGGTTTGCAAGTTATGGAGTTATGGCTTGGTTGGGATGTAACTTGTAATTTCTTGAGAAATCAAAGTTCCAATGCATAGTACCAAAGGATCTGAAGTGGTTAGAGGCTTTAGACATGTTTCTTCTGGTTTTGACATTGTGTGTGTACATAAGAAACAATTGAGAGGCTCAAGGAGAGTGGACTTTGCATAAAGCATGCTTTATGTGAATGGCAATTGTGCCTTTATGCCATAAATGGAAAATTATCTCGGACAATGGCTCAAACACTTGGGTAATGGTTCAATAAATTGTGTAAACACTCAATTATAGGGAGATTTGCAAGTTAAAGGACTTAAAAAGTGAGATCTCTAAGCATGTAATGAGAATTGGTTATGAACTTGTCACAAAAATGACCTATAATGCAACCTTAGATACCCAACTTCATCTCTTCGAAACTTCTAACTCAAGTATGATAAATTTATGTTCTTGGACATTTTGGAAAGCTTGAAACATTATCTAAAACTTTCATGTTTACCACTTTGGCTAAATCAAATGGGAACTTAGTGGAAATTGGCCAAGAAGTTGAGATGAAAAACTGACCAAAACTTGTTGAAATTTTTTCCAAGTGTTAGATAAAATTTTCACAACTTCATGGGCTCATATCTCTTAATCCAAGAAATTTTGAGGATCACCCCACACTAACAAAGTTATAGAATTCATCAATCCCTACAACTTTCATGTTGAAAGTTTTCTTTGAATCAACTTGGATCTTAGTGAAAAATGGCAACGAAGTAGTGATTTTATTAAGAACAAAACACTTAAAAATTTTCTAAGTGTTGGAAAATTGTCCAGCTTTTGACTTTTGTTGACTTTTTTTTTATTCTTGATGATCAAGTTTGATAGTTTTGAATGTTTTTATGATTATTGATTTTTGAATTCCAATGTTGACTAAAAAGTCAAAGTTTGACTTTTGAGTAATTGTTGACTTTTCATTCAATTGGTTCAATTTTTCAACTGTCAATCACTTGTATATTTGAAGATGTCTTGAGCCATGTAATTAGGTCAAGATGTTATATTTGAGCTCTTGAGGTCATGCTTCAAGCTATTAGGTCATGCACTAGGTCAAAAGTCAATGATCAATCATCTTCAATCAAAACCCTACTTTGGCAATTTTCTGACTTTTGATAATTTGAGGGCTTTCCTTGAGGAATCATGTCAACCCTTAATCAAATTATGAATATCACCTCAAAATATTGATCTTGACCAAAAATCTTGAAGTTTGACTGTATGTTAACCATAGTTGACTTTTTGTCCAATATAGTTGATTTTCAGTCATCTGAGCAATTGACTGAGCAAGCTTGTGATGCAAGGCTTGAAACTTGACATAAGCATTATTGAGGATCTATGGTGAACCATGAAAGTTATTTGAGACCCTTGCAACCCAATATTCCTTGAGAAGCACCAAACCCTAGTTGAAGACCCTTGCTTAGGAGGTGAGTTTGTCTGATCAACTCTTGAGAATCCTTGAGTATTTTAGAATCTTAGAAAAATGCCTTGAAGAAAATGGGAGGGAAAATTTTGGGGTACAACAGCTGCCCCTGTTCAATCTTCTTAAACCTTAAGAGTTAGATTGGCCTATCCGCCATTCGTGACTTGAAGGTAGAAGATGATTGAACACTTAAGTGCCCAGAAATTTGCACTCGCATGTGCCCGAAGTAATGTTGTTGGTTGATGTAATGGGAATAGGATTAAAGATGCCATTTGGAGAGGTGATGGAGAGTTGTCAGAGATGGGCTTATAGATTCCATCCAAAGTCATTATGGATAGAATTTAGACTAAGTCTACGCTCGACTTTAATTGGAAGAAGTATCAGAATAACTCTAGGCTCGATTTAAACTGAGCTAGAAGAGGTCTTTTTGTCTTTAATTGGAAAAAGTATCAGAATAAATATACACTCGATTTAATCTGAGCCAGAAGAGGTCTTCTTGTCTTTAACTGGAAGAAGTATAAAAATAAATCTATGGTTGATTTAATCTGAGCCAGAAAAGATCTACTGGAAGAAGTATCAGAATAAATCTATGCTTGATTTAATCTGAGCTAGAAGAGGTCTTTTTTGTCTTTAACTGGAATGAGTATCAAAATAAATCTACACTAAATTTAATCTGAGCTAGAAGAGGTCTTATTGTCTTTAACTTGAAGAAGTATCAGAATAAATCTATGGTTGATTTAATCTGAGCCAGAAAATGTCTACTGGAAGAAGCATCAAAATAAATCTACGCTTGTTTAATCTGAGCCAGAAGATGTCTAAGTCTGTCTTTAATTGGAAGAAGTATTATAATAAATCTATGGTTGATTTAATCTGACCCAGAAAAGGTCTACTGGAAGAAGTATCAGAATAAATCTATGATTGATTTAATCTGAGCCAGAAGATGTCTACGTCCGTATTTAACTAGGAGAAGTATCAGAATAAATCTATGGTTTATTTAACCTGAGCCAAAAAATGTCTACTGGAGGAAGTATCAGAATAAATCTATGGTTGATCTAATCTGAGCCAGAAGATGTCTACGCTTGTCTTTATCTGGAATATGTATCAAAATAAATCTATGGTTAATTTAATCTGAGCCAGAAAATGTCTACTGGAAGAAGTATTAGAATAAATATATGCTTGATTTAATCTGAGCCAGAAGATGTCTACGCATGTCTTTAATTGGAAGAAGTATCAGAATAGATCTATGGTTGATTTAATCTGAGCCAGAAAAGGTCTAGTGGAAGAAGTATTAGAATAAATCTCTGCTTGATTTAATGTGACCCAGAAGATGTATGTGTCCGTCTTTAACTAGGATAAGTATCAGAATAAATTTA